CGAATTTCTTCGTCACGCAAATTTTTTTTTTCTTACCTGCCTTTTTTGCGCGACGATCATGTTTTTTCGTCGTGTAAGCTGTTTTTCCTACTAGTGCATGCGCAAAACAATGCTTCCAGATGAAATATAGATTGGCCAGTTGCCACTATTACATGTGTTAGGCTACTGGATTTCGATGAGTTAATTTGCAGCATTTCTGCATGAATTTAGGGCTTGCAAGGTAAAGTGGATGCCAAACTTTCCAATACAGTCTTGGAACTTGGAAAGAAACAACAAACCGAATGTTTTCCTTGCTATATGTGAGAATTAGAAAAAAACAAAAAGCCAAAACTTGCAACTCCATCATCGTATTGGTATATTGCTGAGTACGTAGTGTCGTCGTTCACACATATATGCACTACATATATATTTGGGGGTGGGTGTGCATATGTATAATTTTTCCATGAAGCCAATTATTATCTATACTTATCTTTTCTCTTAACATATATATAACTTTTTTTTCTACAAGTACACCACCGATCATTTTCCACATTGATTAAATAATAAAACTAGTGCAAACGGTTTAAGGCTGCAGGCGAACTGTACAATGTAATACTAGCATATGGGCACATAGAAAGTGTGTGTGAGAAAATTTTTTATTTTTGATTTTGAAATAGAAGGAGAGAGGAAGAAAGTGATAGCGAATGTAGGAGTGGGAAGTTTTTTTTTTTTTTTTTTTAATTAGAGATATGTTATGATTACATGTATGTGAGGTTTTGAAAAAAAACAGCAAAATTTGGTTGTGTGAAATTACATTTCTGCTCCATATTTCTTATTCATGTTCTTTTTTAATTAGAGGGTTAAACTGGTAATTTCATAGGATTTTAGTTGACAATGAGTATTTTATTAATTAGTAAAGATAAAACCCATAATTTCAGTATAAAAGAATAAAACCCATAACTTAATAAAATATATAGACGATAAGAGTGTGCTAACCGGTTACAGTTAAAACGGCGCTAATCACTTGTTTCAATCAAATCCACAATAATTTTTCATAATCTAAACCGTTCATGTAGCCAACCCTGATCACGATGTGCCTTGAGACACCCACTACCAGTAGCTTCCAACAATAAAAAAGAAGACATTTGTTGCTCTCATTGAAAAATCTATGTGCATCAATGGCAAATTTATATATTAAAAAAAAACTATTCTGTTGCTTTAGGAAAAAAAAATACATGAGTTTTATATTTATTATCAGCACTTTATTTATCTAAATTATGAGATGAAGATTCAAGCTTAGAATTTGAATTGAGTACACTACTTTAATCAACTTCTCATTAACGATTTGTATGTTTATTTTTAACTTGGCCCAAAAGGGTAGGCCTACCTCAATTTTCTTTCAACTACTAAATAATTGCGGCTATTGGTCTCTTTTCATGTGGTGTTTGTTCACGTTGCATTAAAATTTTAATTCGCTTCATCATTGAACATTACACGTCTAACAAGGGGGGAAAAACAATCACATAATTCCGTACAAAAACAGCTTACAATATAATTTTATGATAGTGATTCACATTCTATCAGAAGGCTGCTAAGACTTGTACTAATTAAGTAATCTTCTTTTGAAATTTATCTTTTTGTGTAGTTGAGTTCTTCCAAGTAGTTAAAAGATAAAAACAAAGGAGTTTTAATGAAAAGCTCGTAATACTGTTCACTTTAACAAAAAACTATATTTTTACATTAAAAAGTCAAATCTGGTACTATTCATTTTACCCTTTATTTTGTTCTTATCGTTAAAACTCAAAGTTTTCAAGCTCTTTTCATTAGTTTTTCTTAAAAACAACTTAGAGGATTTCATCACCTCATGCAATTTGATTGCCACACTTAAGCTGTTTATAATTGACCCTTTCCATCCAATATCTTTGGAGCAATTTGAAAGTTGTGTCCGCTTAATTTATGTGTGTGCGTAATTGACCCTTTCCATCCAAACCTTGTTAAGATTCTCTCAAACATATATATATTACGTGATGAAGGTTCCCACCAACAAACACAGCTTTTATCAGGCTTGTATACAATTATTTCATGTTTAATATTTAATATTATCGGTCCTTTAATTATTATTATTATCTCTAGTTAATTGAGAACGACATTTGAAATTTTTTTTCCCGCGTTATTTTTTCAAGGCACAGGCTCAAAAGCCGAAATGCCCACAAGCCCACAGAAATGGCTCCAGCTGGTTACACACCCGCATGTTCAGCCCCTTAAAAATCTGTTTGAGAGATAAATGCATATAAACATTTTATAGTGTGAATATAATTAAACTTGAAGAATCTTAACAATTAAGAGAGTTTTGTCGTTTCTGCAAGAACTAGGGAATTTTTAGAGATGATAACAAGGTTTGATGCATGATTAATAAAGAAAGACTAGTTAACAAACTTTAATCACTCAACATCATCAGGTGTTTCTGCAAGAACTAGGGAATTTTTAGAGATGATAACAAGGTTCGATGCATGATTAATAAAGAAAGAGTAGTTAACAAAGTTTAATCACTCAACATCATTAGGTGGCAAACATATGCAAAAAAGAGAAGGATTCTATCCTCTCCTAATCTTTTTTTCCTTTCATTTTCTCTTATTTGAACGGTTACGGGTTAATCACATCAAAATCTTATATTAATTTTTTTACAGAGACAATAAGATAAAAAATAATATGTAAGAGGAGAAGATGAAAGAGGACGAGAATAAGAGGAGAGAGAATTCTCCTCTATGCAAAAGTGGTTAATTAAAAGAGTATTCTCTACTCGATTGATTCCATCATAAACAATCTCTTTTACTTTGGTTTTGGTCAAAGGCATGCACCTTTTCGAGGACGGGCCATGTTTGGATGGATGTGGAAACGAGGTTTGGGTGACCTTTCAGCTAGATCTAGTATTCGTGTCATGTTTTTCGTATCTGTGTCGTTTTTATGTAATACCTGATATCTTAAAAGATCGTGTCGTATAACATCCGTTAAAATAAACAGGTAAAATGACCCGACCCAATAATATTAACAGGTAATATGACCCGACTCCTTTACCCGTTAAGGAAAATATATTTTAAACCAATAAATAATCAAATGAAAAACATAATACTAAATAAGTATATACATACGATATTATCACATTCAAAACATAAAAACGCATTTGTCTTTTTAGTATTACACATTTACATACCCAAAATAAGAGCATAATAAAAAAACATTAGACCATTACAAAATATCAAATGTTCAAAAGATTTGCAAAATTAAGGGAGTTATGTTTCAAGGTTTAGAACCTTGCACATATTCTTACAATCAAACTCTTCAATTTTCATCAATCACCATGGGAAACGGTATTTGAACTTTGGCTTGATATATTGTCTTCAAGAGTTATATTGATGATATTTTCAGTGAGACTTTCTACATTAGCACTCTCTTCTCATTTACCCTATGGCTATTGTTTAAGTAAAGTCTTTAATAGTTTTTTTAATTAATGTAGAAGTGTGAAAAATATGTAAACGCTCGTAATGACAAGCTTTACAACTTTCGTGAACTTTGAAATGTGCCACTATAATCATATAAATCATAGATCAAAATTTAACCGTCGCTTGTTGTTTACATTTATGCTTCATTTTTCTCACCAAATTTTATTTTTTCAGATTTTCTTTTTTGAAAACGTGATCTATTAGAGGATACAAGAAGATGAACGGTTCGGATCGTTGATATTATGTTCAGAGTTTTGCCATTAGTGAAAATATTGCTTGGTGTTTATAAAGTCTCTACAAACTATATAATATCAATTCATATTTCAATTAACGTAAATATTGGGACGTGATATCAAAGATCCAAACCGTTCATCTTCCTACATCCCCCAGAAGATCATGTTTTCAAAAAAGAAAATTTTAAAAATGAAATTCAATTTAAAGAATAAAACCTAAATGACAATCGACGGTTAAATAAAAATTTAAGGTTTATGGATTATAGAGTCGGATTTCGAAGTTGACCCCTTCACGAAAGTTGTAAAGTTTGTCACTACGAGTGATTGTATATATTTTTTTTTTTTAACATTTCTTACACTTCTACAATAATTATTATTAATTTTATTACTTTTACACTCAAATAGAAAATACTATTCATGACGGTTTGGAGGGTTTTAAAAATCTAAACGATAATGTAAGTGTAACCATTGTCTACTCGTGGAGGAATGATGAATCACAAGTGTTTATATATTCTTTCTCATTTTTCATACTTGTAAGGATGTCTTATTGCCTATACTAATACTATACTAGTTGATTTTAATTTTGGACAACAGCATGTTAAGTAAAATTTATCCTATTAATGATAATAAGAAACTCTCATAATAAAAATAAATAAATGAATAAAACTTAATTTTTTTTAACTTATATAGAATAATAATACAAAAAAATATATTTAATATAGAATATACCAATATATACAATATGGCTATTATATTTTATAATAAATTTTTTAGTAATTAAACTTTAAAATTATAATTTATTTTTCTTCACGGGTCGAAACGGGTTACCCACGTGTATACCCGTTATTAACGGGTTCTTAACGGGTCATCCGATAATGACCCAATTAGTTATCGTGTTAACCCAAAACCCGTTATTTTTGTGTTGTTTTCGTGTCGTGTAAGAAACTGCTGGGTCTACTTTCAGTATACCTAAGAAGACATGGGTTTACCATGATGCTTCAATATTGCTTGGTTTTGGCTCACAATAAAATGTGAGAACCTACGACTCTATGTGTAATACACGACTATGTTAAAGTTTTATTAGGTTTTTGTTATCCGATGTTGAACTTTATTAATGAACTGCATCAGAAAAAGACATATTGGCCGCAATATAATCCATCGATCATCGTCTCCTCATTTGCACCGAACCCAAGTTTGAATCCAATTGCTGGAAACCTTAAGGTTTTCAAAAGAATAGAGGATTTTTAACTTATATATAATGGCCTTGACATATTTCTAAACAGAGAAATAGCAAAGTTCAATTGACTTTATTTGAATATGTACATATAACAACCTCTTTTTCACATATACCCTTCAAAACAACAGCAATGAATTTGTGGTATCATAATTCATCTTCTCCAAATTCGGCTGCACGGCAAATTTGATCATCGGCGGGGGGCCGCATGCTAGTGCAAGAGCGTCGTCCGATCCATCAGGAATGTGCTCCCTGAGCACACTCTCCGTTATGAATCCCACACTGTATTCCCACCCGTCCCTGCCATTCTCCACCACATACCAAACCTTGAACCTCTCATGTTGTTTAGCCCAACCATCAAGTTCTTCCCGCAGCAAAATGTCATCTTCTGTACGGTTTGCATACACCACATACATCTCGGTCTCATCCACTGGGTCCTTCAGTATGGCTTGAACCACTTGGTAAATTGGGGTGATCCCGGTCCCACCAGCCAGCATGGCAAGCTTCTTTGCAAACTTTGGCTTGCCGTTGACCATAAAATTACCACGACCAGTGTACTCTATGTGCCCTAAGGGACCCTTGATGTCTAGGCATGCACCTATTGGCAATGAGTCCAAATATTGTGACATGATACCCCCATTGGGGAACTTAGGGTGCACATTCTTGAAGTAAACTTTCACCACCAAATCAAAGTACCCAACTTCATCAATTGAGCTGCTTGGAGTGTAAGCCCTCATGCAAAGCTTGTCCTCAATTGTAGCACACACGAAAATGTGCTTTCCCACCGGCAATCCCAAAACTTGGTCCTCTGAAGGCAATCCGAATCTAAAGAGCCTGACATCATGAGAGATCGATATCTTGGCTATGAGCTTACATGGGATTTTCTCACGTGGAATAAGTGCGATGCTTCTTGAATGCATTACTTCTTTGATTGGGGCTAGCTGCGTCATGTTAGAAGAAATAAGGTCAACTACAGATGTTGTTCTTGGTGGCCCATGTACAGAGTTATTAGGGGAACTAGATGTGGAGTCTGAAGCATAATTCGTAGTCACCAACTCTCCAATTCTATAATCCTCAATCATTTTCTTGGCTTTTTCCGAATGGATGGCATCAAACTCTTCAGTGCAATCAGTGCCAGTATTGATGAGAATGCTATCAGCGCCACCAGGGTGATCATTGAGGAAGCGAGTGCAGTCGTAGACGTGGCCGTGGACGACGATCCAAGCAGATTGAGAAGAGTTGTGCTTCTTGACATCTGACATTGAGTACATCTTGGATGCACTAGTGTTCATGAAGGGTGTTGAAGAACTCTTCTTTAGGGTTGTGTTGGATTCAGAGTCCAAGCGTTTTTCTTTGGCCATCCACCCACCTGATTGGTTTCCAGGTTGAGTTGGATGCTCAAACAATAGTCCTATCTCTCCCTTGTGTGGCTTGCACACATTGGTTTTCACTCGAAACCAGCAGTTGTTCATCATTCCCTGAAAAATTAGACCCACAAATCATAAATCAATTACTGAAAAATAATCAAAGTATAAAATGTCACATAACTAATTGTACGTATTCTTTTGTTAAATGTGCATAAGTCACATAATGTCATCTATCAACAACTCATATTTGTTACTTTTCTTCATTAAAAAGGAAAAATTAGTGCACAGAATATCAATTTATTTGCCCAATGGTAAAACAGTTCCAGCTCCAATTTTATATTTTGGTATAAATTAACCATATTCAACTCCTAAATCAGTCTCCCCGACGAGGCATGTACAAGTCAAAATATAGTAATAGCCAGCTGCAGCTAGAGATAAAGTAACACCCACTGACCCACACCTTGTGGAGAAGATTCTTGTGTAAGTTGAAGAAGCCCTAATAAAACAATAATTTCTCCCTTTTTTCCAAGGCTCAAGGATCCAAGGTATGAAGTCAACAATGAAATGCAACACATTTTCACTGGCCTTGGTGCAATGACAATGGTCCACAGTTTCAATTTGGGGAAAGAGACGGTGACAATCTGATTGTGACAATACCAAACAGCCAACCACAAATTGCTAAGTTGTCCTACTAAATTATTCACTCCGGGAAAAGACTCGACGACTAAAATAGCCACAAATTAAAAAACGGCATAGTTGGTTCCAGAAAATGTGTTGTACTTGTAACCCTAACCCTAAATCCTAGTTATTTTTACTCCGTTGCTAATCACACTTTAACACGTCTCTGAAAACTTTTATTTATGTATGAAAACAGTAATTTGCAAGAATGGGTAATCCTAAATATCTACGTCTTTAAGATATGCGTTCACTCTTGTCTTTGAATACTGGTCTCATTTAAAATGTAGAAATAAAGAAAAAATGTGGGATATATAGTATCTTACCATGACGTTCCAAATGAGTTTCTCGGGCTGAGTATTGAGTGTCTCGTCCCAAGCTCGGACGGCAATCTCTTTGGCAGCGAGTAGGTCGAGCACCTCCACTTCCAGTGACCAGAAACACCAGCACCAGTACTTCCCATATTTGTTCGGCCTCTCCTGGTGGGCTAACATGCAGACATGCCACGTGTCCCCGCCGTCCATAGTTATCTCCACTCGTGTCACTTTCTTCCCGCCGCCTGTAAAAACAGGAAGGCTGTATCACTATATGCACTTTCAGATGAGATAAGGCACAACTTGTGTAAAAGTCAAAATCCTGGCTTTGGCTGTTTCGTTTTCAATTTTTATCTCCATTTTGTTTTGGTAAAAAATATGAGGTACCCATGGGACTTGTGACTCATGCTAAAATCCAAAAAACCTGATAAATATTTATGATTTTCGCAACGTGGTCTCCGATTCACCAAGCTATAATTTTATCAAAAAATAATTGTACGTACGTATAGTGTTAGTTCTAAACTCACCCGAATATGCGTAGCCTTTCATTGTATACGGCCGCTGAGTCGTATACGAGTTGATCGGCAAAATCTCCTCGTGACACGGCGTCGTTATAACCGAGTTTATATTCAGCTCGTTAATGATATACTCCGGCTTGTACCACCACGCTGCAAGTTCACCCACCCAACAACACAGTGACAATATTAGCTTCAGACAAAAATAGTAAAACAGTAAAAAAAAAAAAAAAAAAAAAAAGCGCAAAATATTAGGTTAGTCACGTCACAACTGACAGCTATCACTTTCCCCCCAGCACATAACTTTTTCACCACTGAGCGCCAATAGAAACGCTCAAATTTCAAGTGCGGATAAAGTGTTGGATAAAAGTCGTAAATACCTTCAGCGTTGGCCAGCTCCGCATCCACGTGCGACGGGAGCACTCGATTATCCTTGAAGTGGTAATAATTGTCGGATTCCGAGGTTGTGACCACGATTCGTTTCAACCACTTCACCATCCGACCCCCGATGAACCCCGGTATTATGACCCGAACCGGAAACCCGTGATCCGGCGCCAAAAGCTCCCCGTTTTGCATGTACGCCAGGATTATATCCCTCGAGGGGTCCATCGCCACCTCCTTTCTCAAGCTCGTGCCGTACTTGGTCCCACCGCCACCCGGCAGGTCCTCGGCTCCCTCGAAGCACACGTTGAGGGCGCCGTTCTTGCGGCTGCGGATTCCACACCGCTTCAGCACGTCGCAAAGCGGGATGCCGCGCCACACGGAGTTGGAGATGCCGGCGGCGCCCCAGTTGAAGCCGATTGTCTGCTTAACGAGATTCTGTTCTTTCCTCCGGTTTCCCGCGCAGACAAGGGTCACGGGGAACTCCCGTGGCTTGAATTCGCGGACGAGCTGGTCCATGGTGAACCGGGTCGGGCGGCGGACCAGACCGGTTATCTCGACGGTCCAGTCCTGCCACGTGGCCTTGGGGACGATGCCGTGATTGCGGACGTAGTGGAGTGGGACTGGGGTGATGAATCCGTGGTGCATGAGGCGGGTGAGTGGCGGTTCGCAATTGAAGGGGTGTTTTCCAGTGAGGCGGACCATAGACGAGTTACGACGCACCCAGCTGTCTGATGTGGCTTCATCTCTGGGGTCCAAGATGGACGGCTCTAATTCGTTGTTGCCTCTCCGGATTAAATCCGTGTATTCCTCGACGACGGCGACCTCATTCTCGTCGTCATCGGACGATGAGTCGTTGCTTTCGACGAAGGGCGCGAGTTTCGAGGGAGTGAGATCGGAGAAGTTGAAGGAGCGTACGACGCCGTTTATCGGCGGGTCGAGGTGGGGGAACTGGCAGTTCTCCACGGAGGCCGTCATACGTCAGCCGTGAGTTGTGCACTTTTTGGGTGTGGAGTGAGAAAAAGGGACGACTCTGTTTTCTTCTTTTGGGGGTTTTCTTGTTTTTGTGGGATTTTGTTTTCCAAGGGACAAGAGAGACCTGAGAGAGTTTTATAGGAGCTCCACAGATGGATTGTGGACACGTGTCACGTGATAATGTGGGACCCGAAAAAGAGGTGTTGGCTGTGGCTGAGGGTTGGCTACAGCCATACTAGGGAGCCACAGATGTACACTTTGTAGAGAAATGCTTACCTATGGCATTTTTCATACTGTTTTTGTGTCACCATTATAATAGAAATATGGTTCTTTAATACAGATGGATCATATTTTTATTGAAAAAGTGGTACAAATATATTTTATAAAATAGCAAAAATGTGTTGTAAGTGAATAGTACCAGGAGTAACTTTTTAGAGTAAAAATATCATTTTCGTTAAAAGTGAACAGTACCAAAAGTGTTTCGTTAAAGCTCTCTCAATTTTAATGTAGAAGGATCTCACCGTAAATTCCAATGGCATACTAATTCCATGCTCAAGTACCTCCAATCACTGCCCAAGTCAACACAAATTCATCCATCAGTGGAATCAAGTCTTTGTCGGGGCCGCAGGTTGCTAGGTAATTACGTAACAACATCTTTTGGATCCGGCTCATCTGTCTAGTGTGGATTGGACGAGGAGTTCTGAGCCCATAATGCAAGGCTATATCCACTCAAGTAATGAATCACTTGCCAAAGTTTCAAATGGGGGAGAAAAATCTGTGGGATCGAATACCATGGTATATAAGTATGATTTATTTATGTCAATGCGGTGAGGTGTCATATGCATGTGGAGTGTAATATTGATACTAAAGAAAATTAAAATAAACCCAAAAGCTATAGGGTTTGTTAGGAAGAACTGAATATGTAATGAATTAATACAAATACAAATACATATACCAATTTTAATGAATTTAATTCAGGGACCCAAAGTTACAGTGCAATTATTGTTGAGAGACTACTACTACTCAATTTTTCTCTTAATTTTTAGAATGGTGCTCTATATTTTTTTTTTTTTTTTTTTTTTTTGGGCACACTTCTCATGAGAGCAACTCCACCCGTGCCAAAATTATCATGGAAAGGGGCAAGAGTTGTCCATAAACACCAAAAGAACGGATTTGGATCCTCTCCTGAGCTAATGAAGAGGATCCTCCTTATGAATCATCCTTGACCGTTGGATTTTTATCCAACGGCTACAATTATTATAATTTTAAAGGAACCCCTATGTTTATAACCGTTAGATAAAAATCCAATGACCAACAATAATTAATGAGAATGATCATCTCCATTAGCTCAGAAAAGAATCCAAATCCCAAAAGAACATCTCTAGCGGTACCAGATTTCCATGGCGATCAGTGGGCCCTACCCTACCCGACTTTGTGCCCGAGCTCCTCCTCGAGGTCAATCTAACGTCAACCACGTTTCTTACAGTATTTGTGATTGTTGGTATAAGCGGCTCAATCTAGACCATCAGAGATCCAAGGGTTTATATTAATTCTCATTTATAAATAAAAAAATCTAAAATTATAAATAATAAAAAAATCATAAAACATTCAAATAATTATTTTTAAAAATACAAAAAAGAAATATGAATATTTTTTTATTTTGAGTTTTCAAGGTACTTATAGAACTCTTGTAATTTTCAGTATTTAAATAATCTTTAAAGTTGTATTTCATTTCAATATTATTTTAATAAATAGTACCATCATAGCAATCCTTAAACGAGTGTAGTCACACTAATTACTATTCAGAGTGAATAGTAACTTCATGCCCTCCCTCTATCCATGCTCTTTCTTTGAAAAAAGGGCATGGATTGCCATGACAGAATAGAATTGCTTTTAAGTGTATTTTGCTTTATAAATATAGAACATTTAGAATGCTACAGCACCTTATAAGAAATATTTGGGGTTACTATAGAGAGCCATATGATAATTGATATGATTTTTTCTTTTTCTTTTTTTTTTTTTTTTGTCAAACGACAATGTTAGTAGGTTAAATTGTTAAATGTAGAGAAAAAGGGGATCGATGGGGATCAAACTCCCACCGGAATTTATTAGAAATCGATGGCTATGACTTTTGGTTTTTCCCAATAACTTTTTATCTCATGGTCTAAGTCTTTTTTTATTGTCTTCAAAGTTCGTTGTAGGAAGATCAACGACGGAAGTAAGACCACTAGTGCTTCGAATATGTTCCATGACTGCTCTCAACCAAAAGCACTTACGCAATGTTTCATACAGGGCGAGAATCTCAGCATGGTTCGAAGAAGTCGCAACTAGCATATGCTTGGTAGACGTCCAAGATATAGCAGTGAGACATAGCCCGTTTAAGAATGTGCCATGTGTAGGTCAAACAGATATCCAGCATCTGCGTAACCAACAAGGTGATAATCAATCCGAGAACCAAGCGACAACTCTCGAAGATTCACGGGTATAGAACAAGCCCAAATCCGTCGTACCCTTGGGCTAGCGGAAAATGTCTTTAACACCATTCCAGTGTCTACGTGTTGGCCCATTGCTGTATCTAGCCAAAAGATTAACATCAAAGGAGATGTCAGGTCTAATGCATTAAGCCAAGTACAATAAAGCCCCAATTGCACTTAGGTATGGAACTTCGGGTTCCAAAATCTCTTTCTCATCCTCTTTTGGATGAAAGGGATCTTGTTTAGCATCTAAAGTCCAAACAACCATAGGTGTACTTGAAGGCTTTGCTTTATCCTCATTAAAACATCACAACACCTTCTGGGTGTAGTTCGATTGATGTATTAGGATTCTATCCGAACAATGCTCGATCTCTAGGCCGAGACAGTATCGAGTTTTCCCAAGATCTTTCATCTCAAATTCGATTTCAAGTGTGCGGTAATTTCCTCAAGCTCTGCGGGAGTTCCAATGAGGTTCATGTCATCGACATAAACTGCAACGATTGCAAATCCGGAATGTGACTTCTTGATGAACACTTATGGGCATAATTCATTGTTCACATAACCCTGACTTGTCAAATATTCACTTAGACAATTATACCACATCAACCCAAATTGTTTCAATCCGTAAAGTGACCTCCTCCATCTAATAGAGAGAGTGTTCCGTGGTCTAGAACTATTTGAACCAGTCAATGGAAGTCCTCCTAGAACTTTCATGTATATTTCCGTATCTAGATCCCTATAGAGATACGCGGTTACCATGTCCATAAGCTACATATTCGGTTTTTCAGAAACTACCAAACTAATTAGGTAGCAGAACATTATGACATCCATTACAGGGGAATACGTCTCCTTGTAATCAATCCCAAGGCGTTGAGAGAAGCCTTGCGCTACGAGGTGTGCTTTGTACCGCACTATTTCATTCTTCTCATTACGATTCCTGATGAAAATCCACTTGTAGCCAACGGGCTTCACGCGTGGTGGAGTAGGAACAATAGGTCCAAACACCTTACATTTCACAAGCAAATCGAGTTCAACCTGGATTGCTTGTTTCTAGTTTGACCAATTTGTTCTACGTCGACATTCATCAACGGAACATGGTTCAATGTCATCGCTAAGCATGATTTCAGTAACTACTGTGTACGCAAATGCATCGTCGACAATCATCTCATTCTGATTCCTTTGTAAGAGAGGGAGGTCGGCGGTAGTGAGAGGGAGAAAAGAGAGATTTAATTGTGAGGTGTGTGTTGTATCACCCCATTGTGCCTTTATTTATAGTAGTAGGATAGGTTAAATCCTTACCCTTTTAGGATTACAACTCTAATAGGAATTAGATTACTAAAAGGAATATAAAAGATATCTCTAGATACAGTAGGATTTATACGATCACATTCCTATTCCAAATATGACTGCAACAATAATGTATATATCTTTCTTTCTCTCACTTTTAGTTTATTTTTATTTTTTGGTTTGGTCAAATGCATATATGATATGAAAGTTGGCAAATCACATGTAGGTCTAGTAAAGACGTACCCGGTCATCCCCTTGGGCCATCTCCAACCGACCCCGCCAAAGGGTCATATGGCTAAAAATAACTCGAAATGACACAAAAACCGTCTCCAACCGAGGGTTAGGCCAAAGGGCTTGTGAGCCCCATCGAGCCAAAACCACCAAATCAGGCCAACTAGCTGGCCATTGCCAGTACGATAAGCCCAGCCCTTTTTTTTTTTTTTTTAATTTCTAATTTTTTTTTCCAACACCATTTCTCACATACTTTTCACCGTTCCATACTATCTTACCTTATTTTATTTCAATTCTTCACATTCTATTCTCTTCCAATAATCTTTCCTTTAATTTGTTTAATAATTTTGAAATGGCCACCACCTTCAATAATCTTCCAATATATCCGAAAATTTTATTTTAATATGGTAGTTTAATTTAATTAACTATATTAATTCAATTAAAATAATAAATTATGTTTGGCCTATGACCCTTTGGTCCCCTCGGTTGGAGATGATTTTTTGTCAAATATCTATGTTTGGCCTATGGCCCTTTGGCTCCCTCGGTTGGAGATGGTATAAAATATGACATGACATTATTTATTAAAATATAATTTCTTGCATAACTATAAACATAGCCTTTTGACCCTTCTTCGATTGGAGATGACATTAAAGATGGGGAATCAAGGCTAGACTCGAGCAAGATAGTGTGCAACAGTCAAAATCAATATATTTTATTGTTTATAAATAAAATAATTGCAAAAGGCAAAACACATGTACATTCATTTAGTGTCCCCCCCCCCCCCCCCCGGCGCAAGGCCCTTTTTCAAGTACCTTGTCTTACAAGAATATAAGATAAATATTTTAGTCCTGACGCATGCATGTTTTAACCTATATATATGGATGAGCACTCGAACAAAGGAGAGAGAATTTCGTGTGTATATACATAGTACCACCCCCACCCCCACCCCTAAACCCCCCCCCCCCCCCCCTCCCCTCCCTTTCAAGTACCTTGTCTTACAAGAATATAAGATAAATATTTTAGTCAAGATGCATGCATGTTTTAACCTATATATATATATATATATATATGTGGATGACCCCCACCACCCCCCCCCCCCACCCCCCAGCGCAGGGCCCTTTTTCAAGTAC